TTTTTGTATAACATTTTCTTTATTGTTTCTATATATAACAATACAAACATATAAACATGTAAACATCCTGTTAAAAGACTCTCCCAGTGAGAAATCCAATCAAAAACAGAAGAGAAAGATATTCATAACTTCTCCCAAAACAGCCACCATAAATTTCCCTTCCCATTGCTATTAAAACCATCCATCCCCCCTGGGAGTCTCAAGTAAAAAAAAAAAAAAAAAAACTAGGAAAACGACAACCCGAAATCCCTCCCATCCCTAAACCACCCCACAAAAAACAAACAAAACAAATTGGAAAGAAGAAAAAAAAAAGTCAGTCTCATCTCCTCCTTCCCTCATTCCTCTCCCCTCCTCCAATGGCCTGCAAAGGAGCCTCCTGGTAAGCACATGGTAGTGGTGTCAGACTCTATCCATGGTTTCCATGTCACCATAAATTGTGGGTACCTGTCCTGGGATCACACTACTAACTCTTTAACCCTTCTTAAAAAATTAATTTCTTTGACCCAATTTTTAATTTGCGGGGTATCTTGAGACCTCCAATATCTAGCTATTACAGTTCTTGCAGCAAATAAAAAATAAAAAAATCGAAATAAGCCTCTTAACTTCCGTAATTGCTCCCGCTATATTAGTCAATAGCGCAACCTCAGGTGTAAACAGTCCCTAGTGTCAGCATTTCCGTATCACATAATTGTGTTCAGTAAAAAAAAGTACTTCCTTCCTTCTTGCAAGATGGTATTCGATTGTGTATTCTCTCTCGCTGCCATTAAGGTGCTTAAGTCTTTCATGTCCATAGAGACTATGGGCGCTTCTGACTTCAAGCAGACTCTGCCTGGTAGACTTGTAGTAAGATAACAGGATCAGCAGGGGTACAGACCTTTTCAAATGTGAAGGCCTCGATCACATGCAAAAGGACAGAGATTGGCACGTACTCATCTATGTTTTCATTCAGATAAAAAGATCAATGCAAACGCAGAGACAGAACATAATTTTTTTTTTTTGCAAGTGTCTCAGCAGCTTAACTCTCCCCGCTTCCCTCTCCCAGCAGTGACTCAGGCCTCTTAAAGTGGAAGTGAGGGTTTCTATTAATAATTGCTGACATGCAGTTGTTTTATGACAGAAAGGACTGTAAGTCTCTTCTGCCAAAAAAAAAAGACGCTCAGTGCACAGACTGAGGTCCTGTGCCAAAACAAAGTAACTCCCAATGCGCATACAGACGCAGCCAATCAAGATGGCGAACCTAGAGGAAGACCAGGTGAAGATTGAAGCGCCGGCTGCTCGGGAGAGTGGACAGCACAGCGCTGGAGGGAATCAATGATAAGGTAAGTCGGCCATAATGTGCCAACACGCTGTGCAAACTAGCACGTTAGGGCCAACACATCCAGAAGGCCCCCCCACTTCAACTTTAATTTCCAATGTAGACACGTAGCTGAAGGGCAAGGGGGTAGGGTGACCTGAGTTGCCTAGATAATAGCTTGTATGACTTTAGCGCTTTCTCTGTGAATGTTGAGGATGAATTGCTCCACAGTACCTGCAGCTACAGGGGTCAGCAAGGGACTTGTTTTACTCATTTACGGTTTCCTAAAAAGATGGAAATGCATCAGTATTTATAGTCTGGCCACAGGTTCACATTAAGACTTTAATATTGGCTGCTCTCCTGTTGCAAGAAAAGCAGTTGGAAGTGTTCTGTTCTGGTCACAGCTGCTTGTTTATAAGGGCTTGTTCACACCGAAAGCGGTGCGTTCCAGAGCGGTAGCTGCTGGAACGCACCGCAATCCCTCACAAAACTTCCCCCTGCGTTCTGGGTGGGAGGGGGTGTGGCGGTGCATTGAATTCAATAGCACCGCGTCCACGTCCTCCCGCCAGCAGTGCGATCGGACGCGTGGCAAAACTTTCGTTCCGTTCCACTGCAAATGCAAAAAAATAGAGCAAGCAGCATTTTGAGAAGTCCTTTGGATTGTGCTGCAAAATCCCCTATCAGAAGTTTTTTGTTACCAGCTACACAGTTAAATTTTAGAACATGGTGGGGCCAATATTATGTCTTTGTTTCTGGCTCCAGTAGCTGCTTTGACACTTCACCGGTTACAGTAAATATCATAACATGACATGTATTATTTATGGAGAAACTAACCAGCACATTTCTCAACTGGGAAGTAATATGTACTTGCTGCCAATTTTCTTGTAAAATGCACATCTTGGCTGAGTGTGGTGGTTCTTCAACATTGTAAATTAGAATGCAGATCATCCAGTGCTTATGCTTCATTGTAGTCTTGTAGATCACACAGACAAAGGTTAAAGCCTAGCTGCAGCCAACGTCTATTTTCTTCAGTTTTGGATAGAATAGGGAACAGTTAAAGTGAATTTCCACCTTTTGCATCCAAATTTGGGCATCCCCCCAACTATATGTTTGTTTCTATTCACACAGCATGTCCAAAAATAATAAAACTAAATATTTACTGTTTAGGTTTTATACATGGTATTACATAGTTGGCTCTGTTGTTTAGAATAGCTTGCAATGTCCAATTAGAAGACAGGCAGAGGGTCAGTTGCTTTAAAAAGTGTATTAACATACAATGTATCACCTGAGCCTTATAACTGAAAATGAGATCTGCCAGCACAGTAAAGCGCTGATAGCTGGTAGGCACTTGGAGATGCACATTAACGAGTGATTCACAATTGGCTTTCACCCCATTAGGGCTGCAACTAATGATTATTTTCACAATCGATTAGTTGGCCGATTTTTTTTTTTTTTTTGATTTTTTCAATTTAATCGGATAAACAAATTTAAATGAATACCACCCTTAATTCAAAATAAAATACACAAATGCAGGGAGTTTTTGCAATCACATTGCACTGGAAGGCATGGCATTGCGGTACCATGCATTCCAGTGCGGGGCGATCACACCAAAAATGACTCTTCCCACTTTTTTTTTCTTTTTAATCATACTTTGTATTGTAAGCACATGACGCTTGAATAGCTTCAGCCAGGGAATGACAGCTGCCAGTGGTAAGATTCTGCAGTCACCAGCTGAATGTAAATACAGTAGTTAGTGGGCTGGTGCAATAGCCAGCCTGCTATTGGCCATTTCAAATTGCAATAGCAGGCTGGCTATTGCACCCACCCACTGCTTGCTATGCCCTCCTCCCCAGCGTGGAGGAGAGAGCTAGGAGATCCAACCAACTAATCGATAATGAGAATAGTTGACAACTGTTCTTATTGCTTAGTTGGTTGAAGCCCTAGACCCCATAGGTTTCCTTTCGGCGCCATTCACATGAATGGGGCAATGTGGGATTCCTGTTGCAGGAATCCGTTTTCCGTTTAGTTGCAGCCACTGTGCCCTTTGAAGTAAATGACAGGGTGACGGCGGCTGCATCTGTATGCAATTGCATCTAATATAATTGCATGAGGTTTTGAATCGATAACTGTCACTGTACTCATCTATCCTGCATTCAGCGACAGTCATCTATTCCAAACTGCATGTAATCGTAGCATATACGATTATATGCGGCTGCTGTCACCTGGTCATTAACTTCAATGTATACAACAAAAAAGAAAGGTATAAACGTTGCATCACATTGCACCACTCCTACACAATGCACACCAGCAGGTGCGTCTTATACACAGCGTACACATGCTGGTTTAAATGGGCCCTAACTGCGTGTGCAGATTAGCACACAATAAATGAATGGGATGGTACACATAGACACTGCAGAACTGCAACACAGACTCTATTGTACTATGAATAGAACAAACAGTACATGAACTGTACAGAAGCTGATATTAGGATCTGTAACAACAGCAAAAACTATCACCGCAAACAAAACTGAAAGTTCTACCAAGTATTAAAGAAGAACTCCAAGAATTTTCTTCAATCAACCCTTGCAGTAAGACTACCCCCACACTGCTAGGGTTAAGTGCTCGTTTTTTGTCTAGTTATACTTACCCGAAGCTCCGAGCTGGCTTTTTCTCAGACCGCTCCTTCCATAGTCTCTCTCCCTCCTCTGCAGCGTTCTAAGGTCTGACTACGCTGAGGAAGATTACAGTGCTGCAGTGAAAGGAGGAGAGCGGCTGGAGGGAGCGCTGTGACTTGGAGCTTTGGGGGAGTATAACTTTTGTTGTTTTCTAACATAGACACAAACGAGCACTTAACCCTTGCAGTGCGGGGGCAGCCCAACTGCTAGAGTTAAAATAGTTTTTCTGGAATTCTTCTTTAAAAGAATTTGAGCTTTTTTTACATAAAAGTATCAAATAAATGCGGTGTTCGGGGAGATGGAATAATTTCCAGAAGGGCATTTCCCCTCTTCCCCGTGCCCGTTTACATGTTTTTTTCCCAGTTACTGTCTACACCTTTTTTGTCTCCTTTATTTTATATCTTGCTCTTTCAAACAATTGTCAGTATATATGTCGAGTACTGCTTGCCGCAAGTTGGCTTTCTACTGTTGGTAATTAATAAAAGGCTTTTGATACCCAAAAATGTATGCTTTGCTTTAGAAAATGGGGGAAAAAGTGGTGATAAGGCCACATTTACGCTTCTCCGTTCCTGTGTATTGTGTTAATGCGTGTTGTGTTAGGACAGGCTATTCATTTTGAATGGGTTGCCGATGCACAAGAACAGACCAAAAATCAACATGCAGCATTTTTCCCCAACGCAGCGCAACACAATGTACAGTAATGCTCTATCGTGCTCTGTAGAGCCCTGGAACACACACGTCAGAGCTGGGTTGCTTTAGTTTAGTGCTTTGGGGGTGCCATTCAAAATGTGAAAGTGGCAGTGCCTTTAGAAATCGTACAATGGGGTGTCTATGTTGTTGTTGGTTTGGTCTACCCTTTTTAGCTTTTAGTAGACACAAGATCTTGGTGGAAACATGTCTGGCAGATGGCATTCATTTGCCAGCCATTATTCATAGTAAAGCCAAGGCAACCAATCAGTAGTTATCTGTAATGTATTGAACAGTTTTAATATGAATTTATCTCTTACATTTTCCTTTTTTCTTCCCCACAGAACATTCATTTCTCATTCTACATGTGCAATCGAGCAAGTGCCTTCAAGTAGACAATGACCAGATTAAGCTGGACAGCTGTTCAGACACTAGTAACAGAGGACTGTGGCAATGGGGCTCCAGTCATCGACTCTACAGTGTTGAGTCTAAAAAGTGCCTTGGACTAGACCTTTCTAAATCCCAAGAACCTTTAAAACTTGTCCCTTGTGACTCGAAACTTATGCTGTGGTGGCGATGTAGTGGTGGACACGTGCATGGGGCTTCCAGATATGGACTTGGTGTAAAGAATGGAACAGTGGCTGCAGTCTTACAGTCCCCTGATGAATGGAAGGTGAATGGCACATCGAAGAACATCTGTGAGGCTCCGTACCATGGTATGTATTTATTTTTTTACTTATGTTTTTTGAAAGGGGCCTCACACTTTTCCCTTGCTGTAGAAAGCACCAAAGTACCTTTGCACTCAGGCAACTTGTTTGTGGATGGGCAAACTATTTCCTTTTCATCATTCTAGCTACCTTTTGGGCTACATGTACACCTTTGAGCTTGCCCTTGCCCTGTCCTGCCTCCTGAGCCTTTGTCTTGGTCAGTGAGGCTGCTCATCGCATTTGGACCAATAGTGGGTTTTTGGAAGTAGTAGTGGGTGGGGACAAGCTCAACTCTTAATAGAAAACTTAAAGGAGAACTATGAGGTGAGTGAAGTTCGAGCCGACATGTGACAATGAAATTATCACACATCGGCTCAATAGATCTGGAAGTGAGCTCACATATTGCTCACTTCTCGATCATCTCCCTGCAGAGAGCCGTGACTGTTAGTCATGGCTCCGTGCAGGGATTCCCCTCCCCGATCCTCCAGCGCTGACTGGTGGAACGGACGGGGGATGGGGCGGGTACATTCTAGGATTTCTGATTACATGGTTGCTGGAAGTTGAATGATCCAATTGAGGGGATATGGACCTGGATTCCTGAACAATTTACAGGGTTATTCACAAAAGGGGTAAGAGTTTGGAGAAGGCAGGAGAAGTGAACAATCTAGGACAACATAGTCGATTTGGAAAAATTCACCAATTCAGCTCACTTTCCAGCTCAGCTATGTTGTCCTAGATTGTTCACTTCTCCTGACCTCTCCAAACTCTTCACCCCTTTTTGTGAATAATCCTGTCTGTTTCATTTTGTTTGCTTTCCAAATTAGAAATACAGTGCAAATGTATACAGAGTGTTGCATTATTTTTCTACCTAGCTTTCCATTGAGTAAAACAATAACTCTCGAGCCTCAATACATCTGGAAGCACACAGAAAAACTTGCAAGTAAATTTGCCTGTAAGCTCCCAAGTTGGGTGTGAATGCAGCCAGCGTGCACAGGGGATGCTATCAGACTGCAGGAATTTGTGCACCTTGTGACTTTTATGATACACTTTTTTTTCCTTTTTTCAAATGGGAGCTAGAGCAGGAATTATCTCTGCAAACCAGTTTTTCTAGTACATGACAAGTTGGGACTGCATAACTGATCTGTTTTTTATATTAATCTTAACTAAAGCTATTGATCTGGAAAACTGTTCTTCGAAGGCTCCCTCCTGGGTTTTTTTTTTCCTGGTAGCTTACAGATTCCATCACGTGTTGCCTTCTTATATCTGTCAGGGACTCTGCTGGTGGGATATTCCAATCGGAGTTCCTACATTTAGCCACACACTGAATCCAGCACATGACACTGGTGTCAAACTGTGTGGATGCACTCTTGAAGGGCCTGGAGACAGACTTGTGTGGGTGAGCTTCCTACTGAAGTCTCTAAAAAATAAAGCAAACTATAAGGTAATTTAACCCAGGAGTGGACAGGTCCATATGGAATTCAGAAGCCAGTTTGTCCAGTCCAGGAGACAGCAGGATAATTTTTTTTAAGGCGCCAGCTTCTTTGATGACAAGAACTAGAGAGAACCTCAAAGGTTGGATGCCAGTTGTAATTTTTTAAAGAGTATTGGCTACCTGGTTCCTGGGATTTGTCCAGCTTTGATTTTAACCCTCTGTTGCCTACCCAGAATTAACACATTAGGTTTGGTTGAAGTTGGTCTGTGCTCCACACATGGGCATATTTTTGGTGCAGCTTCTTTCATTTTGTAACCTGTTTTATTTGAAGTACCCGTACATGGCTTGACAGTGCCAGATGCAAAAGATATATTATCTGAAGCTTTAGCTGATTTGTGGTGTTTTTATAATCTGCCAGAGGAATATTGTTTTGCATCTGTACAGACATTCGTTTATTCAACACAGGAAGTTAATAACCACGTTAGCGCCTTCCTGTTTTTGGTAGGCTTTGTTTGCTTATTGAAATAATATGTAATCCTAATAAGTTACAAATGACTCCTCCAACAGACAGATTTAATTGACCTTTAATTGAGTCCATGTGTTTCCGCTTTGCAGAGAGGTGTTGTGATCACAGTATTTTATCTTTGATTTAGTGAAGTGAAATGAAAGAATCAAAAGGCGACATTTATTAAAGGAGAGCGCTGGTGGATCGGAGCGGGGAGGGGGGGAATCCATCCCCCTCCCCTGTCACGGCAGAGAGCCGTGACAGGATCGAGCAGTGAGTGAAACAACGGCATGTGTTCGCTCACCTCCCGATCTACTGAGCCGAACTGTGACAGTCTCATTGTCACAGGTCGGCTAGAACTATGAGGTGAGTGAAAAGCACTCACCTCATAGTTCTCCTTTTAACCTGATATATTATAGCCTGACTGCAGCTTCTGCTGCTCAAAAATATTGAGCTTAGGGGGACAGTTTGGAATAAACACTGACGTGTCCTGCAGAGATTCTTTTTAGGGTTACCTTTGAATCTGGATAACAAGCTCTTCAGAAGAAGTCAAGAAACAAGTGTTTCTATTTGAATACTAGAGTCAAGTGTTGAATTCAGGAAGGTGCAACTATTCTAACCATATACTCTACATTGTCCACTCCGCTTCCTAATTAAAGCGGACCTATTTTTAAAAATCGCGCTGTCTATGAATCAATGGAACATGTAAGCATTGCTAAATATAAGTATATTTTTTTGAAAAATAAAATGTCATTAATAAAAAAAACAACAACTCTTTCAGCTTCTTCATGGCATTTACAACTCTGGTAGAGATGACATGGTCTGTGGCTACCAAGTGCCTTGCGTGTGTTTGGCATCATGGCTGTCCCTCAGTTTGGAGAGATTTCCTCCATTTCCTGTTGTGCCCCCAGGACAGGGATGAAAGGAACTCTCCACAGACACACAGAAAAATACCTAACGGGTTTAAACATGTCCCTATTTTATCCTTCTCTATTGGCTTTATTTATATTGGTGTTTTAAATATGAAATGGAAATATATTTTCCTAATTTGAGGACGGTGTACATTTATGTGAAATATCAATTTTGAGATATAGTACCTGATGTCTGCTTTTCTATGTTTATTGGCATCTCTCCATTACAGTTTTTCAGGGTGTATACCGTTTCAATAAACTACTAACTGTGCTCCTTCCAGGAAATGAATGAAATCCCCTTAATTCTTGCATGCTAAATGTGGTTCTACTTTTTATTCCTCCTCTTTCAGTTGTGTACACTACCGGGGGAAACTCCTATGGAAAGCCCTGCGAATTTCCATTTTTATTAAATGGGACTTGGTACCATGACTGCGCCTATAACACCACAGAAGATCGCGAGTGGTGCTCCAGCTCTGGAAACTTTGACACTGATGGGAAATGGGGAAACTGTTTGAAGCCAGGTGAGTTATTGTATAGAGAGAATTTGTCTAGGAAGCTTTTCCTGAAAAGCTGTATCATAGAGACATGGGGGGGGATTTATCAAAATCTGGAGCAGCTGGCCATGGCAACCAATCAGCTTCTCTCTTCATTTTCAAATCCTAACTGAACAAACTGAATATAGAAGGTGATTGGTTGTCATGCACAGCTGCTCCAGATTTCTGAAGGCTAAACAACCATCTCCTTCTAGTACCTAGCTTTCCATTGGGTGAAACAATAACCACACACACACACACACCTCCCAGATTTTTTTTTTCTGCTCCAGTTTTGATAACTTCCCCTCTATCTTTAAACCCAAGCTCGACCTGACCTGCAGAGTTTGTGACTACGATAACCAATAAACACATGCACCAACCAACATCTGATGTATATGGTTAGCTGTTGGCAGATTTCCAAATCACCTGTAAGATCAGCCCATTGTTGAAGGGATTACCAGGCGCAAATTCCCACTTACACTGCCAGTTGATTTTGAAGGTACAAAACAGATTGGACTTTCAGATCCACCTGAACAAACACATCTACTTGATTTATGCTTGCCACTGCAGTTAACTTGTTGTGTAAAACTATGTGACTGAGAGCAGCCTGTCGCCCTTTAGTTGGGCGTGCCGGCGGTCTGAGGGCCTTTAGTTGGGCGTGCCGGCGGTCTGAGGGAATTTAGTTGGGCGTGCCGGTGGTCTCTTTCCTTTTCATATTTATGTGCAAGTCATTCAGTGAAAGGGTACCGAGAATTTTTTCCTGCGTATTAGAAAGTCTTGGACAAATTATGCATTTGGAATTGCCCAAAGAGTGGTCCACATGCCTTCCAGTTGTCATGATTTACTTGGATTGTTTGTGTATCACTATACCAAGCCTTACTTAGCATGGATTCTGATGCTTTATCATTTTAGAAATGTTGATTACCATTTTATTCTCTTTTTATGTTTTTAAGTGAGCGATTGTAGTCGCACTTGGATGCAAAACTCCTCACTGCAGCATTGCTACCAGTTCAATGACCGGTCAAGCCTCAAGTGGAAGGAGGCTTATATGTCTTGTAAAAGCCAGGGGGCTGATTTACTCAGCATAACCAGTGAGGAAGAGCTGAATTTTATCACAGGTAAGAACAGCTTTTCAAATTGAATGAAATTAGTTGTCTAATGTCTAAATAAAAGAGGAGAGTCGGGCAATTTTTATCCATACAGTCTCGAGATTTACACAGCTCTGCCAGACAGCACAGGCCTGGTGACCTGCCCTATATGTACTGCAGTTAAGCACCACAGGTCACCTAGGTCAGGTGTCGGGTATTTACACTGATCCCATTTAAAGCCGAACTTCTACTATTTGTTGAATTACAATACTTCTGTAAATGTAATTTTTCTAACAAAAAACAAATAAAGCCTTTTTCTTTCTGCAATAGGCTCATGATTTTTCGGACCCATTCTATGCAAAACAGCACTAGGGGCTTGTTCACACCAATGGGGTGCGTGAATCGCAGGGTTCCATGCAATTAACGCGATCTTTCATGCAATGGTTGGATATGGATGTCACCAGCACTCCAAGTCACCGTAATTAAAACGTCAAGAAACGCAATCCTATTTTTGTAACATTCGGGGTTAAAGACGATGCCAGGAAATACACAGCTTTCTTTTTGCGTAGACGTTTGATCTCAAAGTAAAGATCGAGAGGAGTATCAGCACCAAAGGCTTTGTTTTCATCAGGGGGGAAGAGTATCGATTGTATACTCTCTGGATTGTACAGATGACTAGTTGCTTGCTGTACTGTGCGTTGTAGAGTATTCGGATTATCCATGCACGCAGAGCATTGCATTGCCATTCATTTGAATGACTCAACCGTGCCGCAACACGTGGTACCGCAAGCCCACTAGTTTTTTCAAAAGCAAGGTATGGTATTGCGTTACCATAAGTTGTGGCGTGGTCAAGTCTCAGATATTCCACTCCCTACCAGAATACTCCTTGCAGATAGGTGCTGAAGAGAGGGTTGGCACTGCTGAAGTCCAAATAGATAAAGTATGTCAGCAGCACCCTGTAATCAGTGTCCAAAATCGTCTTTATTGAAGCCCTAGGTGACGAGATGTACATGCGTCAATAAAGACGATTTTGGACACTTGATTCCAGTGTGCTGGTGACATAACTATTTGCAGCATGGTCAAGCACATTGCGGACGCGAGGTGCGTTTTGGGGTTCCATTCAAATGAATGGCGACGCAATGCACCACATGCACTGTTACATCCGGTAGGGGTGTTGCATGGAACTGTGTGATTTAACGCACCGCTTTTGTGTAAAGAAACCCTTGGTGCCATAAGAAGACAGCTCCAGGGGTTAAACTGTGACCGCAGTGCTCATCTGAAGCTGCACTCACCGCTAAACATGTTTTTATTAAGGACAGTGGTCACTGTGTGAAGCGCAGGGCAGCCATCAGGGGGGTACGGCTGATACTAATGTAAGGGGCCCGCCCGGGACCCTTACACGAGTATCGGCCGACGGTGAAGAGCGAGGAGGCGGACGGGCCCCTGCAGCGGAGGCCTGGCCTTAGCAGCGCAGGGCCCCAGCATTGCCCCTCCATCAGCTTCGAGACAAGCTGGGGCCCCATCAGCGATGCTGCTTGTGACATCACTTCCGGCGGCAGAGGAGGCCTGGTGTGCAGTTAAGAGGAGCTAGGATGGAGGGAGGGGGATGCAGCCCTGACCAGCCTACCTTGGAACCCCTTCAGAGCCCACTATAGACAGTCTCAGATGGGCTGTGCAGCATCTATGGTGGGCTCTGCAGGGTCACTCTCAGGTGAGTCCAGCACGTCACCAAGCCCTGCGTCCAGCGGGTCACCAAGCCCTGCGTCCAGCGGGTCACCAAGCCCTGCGCTCAGCGGGTCACCAAGCCCTGCGGCGGTGGGGTGGGGGCCCGGCCTAAAGCCGTGGAAGGGGCCCCACAATTTCTGATGGCTGCCCTGAAGCATAATAATTTCTATCACAGATGCCTTCCAAGACTCTTTCTTGATGAAGGTTCCCATAGTAAGGTTCTGGGAGGATGGGACAGACTTATAGTTCCACTTTTTAGAAATTCATTTAATGATTTTTCTTATTAAATATCATAAAAAATGCTGCATGCACTATTTTAAAATTTTTTGGCAGCACCAGACTGGAACACAGGCCTTGCTGTGCCACGCATTCGGGTGATGGTGCACTGCAGCTGGGGGAGTTGCTGTGGTGCCATTTGACTTTTCCGGACCAGATCTGGAACTAAGTGCATTGCATTTTGCTGCATTTTTGCCATATTTTTAGAACAATTTTGACACATTGCGGAGCTGTTTTTTCTTAGCTTAAAATGGGCTTTTGGGTGCATTCCAGTGCGTTTGTACCAGACAAAATGAGACCTGCATCAAAATGAGACATGGTATTTTTCTGGTCTGGAACGGACTGCGCTGGTGTGAACAGAGGCCAGAAATAGCATAGGGATACATTAGGATGCATTTTGGATCAGGAAACAATCTGGTCTGGAGATCTGGTGTGAATGGGCCCTCAAGCTAGGTTTCAGCATTGGTGAAGATTTATGGACAACCGTTCCTTACTTGCTTGGTAACTAGCAGCAGGTTTAGTTGAGTTTAATCTTCTTTTCAGTATATTATATATTTATGTATAGTGTAACTTTGTGATGATACTACCAATGAACATGTGCTTCTCTACTTGTTAACTTGTTGCATACTCCATAATCCTCTTCATTACCATAACAACTGCAGAATCTAAGACATGCTGGAAGGTTAATTGGATCCTCTCTAAGTTGGCCCTCTATGTATAGATGTGAGATAGGGACTTTAGATTGTAAGCTCCTTGAGGGCAGGGACTGATGTGAATGTGCAAAGCGCTGCATACATTGTCGGCACTATATAAATACCTGTAATAAATAAAATAAATAAGAAACCTCTAACTGAAAAAGTTTCCTCACTCCATGCTGCTCAATGTTGTATTTATTGCCCTTGTTTTACTAACTGTCACATCTCAGCTGTTGGGATAACGGAGGACCTGGTGGAGCTGTCGTCAAGTCCAGCGTGCAGCTCTGTCTTGTGGTCTGTTTTTCCAGCAGCAAACAGTCAGGCTGTAAGATCATGTGCTGTTGAGGCTGTAGTGACTTTCATTTGCTGCATAGGAAAGGAATCACAATAGAGACCTTTGTGACTGGTGGCTGAAAGCTCAGGACAGTTGTGACCACAAAAGGCCGAGCAGCTATTAGAAGCCAGAGATCAGAGGGTAGTAATAAATGGGTCTTTTTCTAATTGGGCAAAGGTTGTGAGGGGTTCAGTCCTTAGAACCGATCCTTATTCATCCACGACATAGAGATTGGACTAAGTTTGATTTTCGTTTTTTGCGGATAATAAAAAGTGTGTAGGAAGTAGTTTCCAAACGGGAGATAACTGCACTTCAACAGGACCTTAACAAAATTGATGCATGGGCTACAAGATGGCAAAAGCGATATAACGTTTAAAAATGTTATGCACATGGGGGGGTACTACATGAGGGAAGTCGACCATGGAAAAAGACCTGGGGATGCTATTAGATCACAGATTTGGTAATGGCAAGCAATGCCAAGCAGCAGCCAGCAGAGCAAACCACATACTGGCGTGCACTAAGAAGTATCGCGGGAAGGGATAACAAAGTAATACTTTCACTTTATAAATCACTGGTTCGGCCCCATCTTGAGTATGCGGTGCAGCTTTCACCGCTTTCAAGAGTTCAGGGAAGGGCTACAAACTTAAAAGGATAGAAGGCCTGAGTTATGAGGACTGCCTTCAGGAATTAAACTTATTCACCTTAGAAAAGAGATTACAAGGAGACCTTCCTGTAGTCTTCAAAATCATCAATGGGGACCACAATATAAGAACAAACTGTTCAATCAGAAAACTGTATTGAGAAGGCGGGGACACAACAGGAGGTTGGAGGAGAGGGGGTTCAATCTCAGAAATAGTTTTTTTTGGTTTTTTGTTTACTGTGGAATTCCCTTCCACAGGTGGTGGTCTCGGCCCAAAGCATTGATAAATTCAAGAAACTTCTTGAGTTTCTTATTTCACTGGATTTACAAAAATATGGGCAGTGTTAGTCAAATACAGACACACAATCACACACACACATACTTGGATACATAGGTTGAACTGGATGGACCCTTGTACATTTAAAATAGTAACATAGTAGGTAAGGTTGAATAAAGACAACGCCATCATCTATAGCGTCTCTGGATATTCAGACCCCATTCACACAAAAATCGCAAGGTTCCATTGCCTTGCGATTGTACTGCCCACATTCTAATCTGAGCTAAAGCTTGCGATGCTTTGTGCTATTACGCAGTTTTGCAGCGTTTGTGTGTCGCTAAAAGAGTAGCGTGTGCTTTCTTTTTTTTTTTTTTTTGTGGCATCGCAACAAAAAAACTGTCCCATTCACATAAAGTTAATTTTTTGTTGCCCTTGCATTACCTTCTGTTGAAAAACTAATCGTAGCGCAATGGATTCGGTGTGAAGGGGGGCCTCGGGTATCTCTTGGACGAATTCCAAAATCACTAGATTTTGGAATTGCTCACCATGGTCAATGATGGTAAAAGGAGAAAGGGCTTGCAATTTTCTGTGTTGATAGGAGTAGTTGCAAGTGATTTTTCAACCTGCTGGAAAAGCTCTGACTTTGTCCATCAAGTTAATGATTACATTTTTGCCCATCAGCACTCAGTAGGAATAAACCATGACCCCAGCACGGTTGTCAACGGGATTACAAAACAAAATGCCTGTGATCAGTGAGAGAAGGAATAATGCCCCATCAGTGGTGTCAATGGGAGAAATAACGCCCCTTTGTTGGTGTTGATGTGGAAGATTGGTGCCCTATCAATGGTGTAATTGGGAGAAATGGTGCCCCATAATTAGTGTAAGGAAGGAATAGTACCCCATCATTGGTGTCAGACTGGGAAGTAGTGGCCCATTGTTTGTGGCTGTGGTAGGAATAGTGGCCCATCATTGGTGTCAGGGGGAGGAACTGTGCCCCATCATTGGTGGTGTCAGTGGGGAGTCTACATGAAGAGCAGAAATTTGAGAAACGTATCCCAACTGCAGCAGAATCTGTCCTGATAACTTGGGGAAAGGAGGAGAGGGGGGTCTAGGAACAAAGAATAGTACCCATAGCAACCAGTGAAAATCAATTGTATGACCTGATATCTATGAAAGGAACGTTTATAGGATGTTTTTGGTTACAGCTCTTTGTGCTTTGCTCTGCAATAAGCTGAGAATACATACTGTCTTTCTCTTCCTATTTCCTTCCTATCCTAATTTTGTATTGATGTTGCTGTGTACTGACGATGAGCAGACTTTGGCATGAATCATGTGCTGGGGACTTTTGAATGACTCATATTTGTTATATGGCAAATTCAATTCATGTTGTCATCTGGAAAGCAGTGTTCTCAAAAGCTCCAGGAATAGAATGAGAAGAAAAGAGGTCGGGGCATTTTAGCACTGTAAAACCCAGTCGATGCAAGCAACATTTAAAATGTTTACCTAACCTAAAATTCAACTAACAGAGAGAGAGCCTACCTCATTTCCTGTCTGGAGGACACTCATCATCATTCTACTCTTTCCACCCAGCCTTACTGTCACTGTTCTGCCTCCTTTCATTCATTGGATTTGCATTTATTCAATCTTGGAGGCCTAATATCACATTTGGACGTTGCCTAGGGCTGTCTGCATGCAAATTAAGTCCTCCAGACTAAATTCCCCCCACCAAGACATTTAAATATTTGCATAACTCCCAAGAACTAGCCCACTGCTTGCATCAGGATTAAAGGCGAACTATGGGGGTCAGTGTTTTTCCCCATAGTTCCCCTTAGGGTAACGGGAGGACACAAACTAGCGTCCTCCCGTTACCCTAAGCTCAGTATACCGCGAGCTACAGCTCGCGGTATACTGAGACGCCGGAGCGGATCCCGACGTAGATGATGGGATCCGCCCAGCTGCGTGAGTGACAGCTGGCTCTGCCTCTCTAGAGGCAGAGCCAGCTGTACCCGCCCCCTCCCCCGTCCGTTCCGCCAGTCAGCGCTGGCAGATCGGAGAGGGGAATCTAGGATCGAGAGGCAAGCGAACCCGCTATGTGTTCGCTCACCTCCCGATCTCCTGAGGCGACCTGTGACAGTCTCATTGTCGCAGGTCGGCTAGAACTATGAGGTGAGTGAAAAGCACTCACCTCATAGTTCTCCTTTTTAAGGGCCTTGAAGTGTATTGAGGCACCCTGCTGGCCCTCCGACATGCTTTACAAAATAAAAATTACGGAGACCCAGTGATGTCACTGGGCCTAAAATAAGGTATGTTATGAAATTAGGTTTTATTTTAAAATTGGAAAGCACCAAGGAATGCAAAATATAAGCAGTTTAAACTTCAGCTTTAATCTTTTGTGACGGGTAATATTAGATGTATACCCTCATGAAGTTGGCCATCCTAACAAAGTCCAGAGAACCAGAACAGTTCATTTGTAATATTTTTTTTTTTGCCTATATTACTGTAGAAAAGACTTCTGAACTTCCAGGGACATCATCCCGGCTCTGTAGGAGAAAACTGGGAGTAGAGTATAATGTAATAGTCACCAATAGCTGTCTTGTGCTGTGCCATTTATACAAAACCTAAACCATTCATAGGTGCTCGAGTCCTATCTGACTTCCAGCATTCAAAAGAGTATCATGTTATTTCCATGCTGAAAGTCTACTACAAGCAGGTAGGCGTTACTCAGCAGGATTCCATGCAAGTTGAAATTCATTCTTTTCAGCATATCATAGGCGTCATAACCGATCATAACTTTGTGACATCACCTCTGTATTCTTTGGAACTACAGGGGGGAGTCTAAACTATCCTAATACTGGCAACAAGTGACTGTGTAACGCTTCTTGTCACACAGCCGAAAGTAGGACTTGCATCTGAAGCTGGGATTATTATTTACATAGCAATTTCAGACAGGCTGTTGACATGTGAGAAAAAGGAACACCAGCACTCCTTTCTGAAGGTATTTACAGATGCAATAATATTTTTATTAACCAAGTTGCAGTTGTGTTTTTAAAGCACTTTGATAAGGAAGGTAAATGTTCTTGATCGAGAAAAGATTAAAGGGCTGATTGCAAAATATTTCCTTTTTTAATAAGTGTTTTTTTTTTTTCCCCTTTTTTTTGTTTTTTTTAAGAAAAATAGAATCTTCCTGATTTTATATGGATGGGACTTAATCGCTTAGAGAGCTCTAGTGGATGGCAGTGGTCTGATAATAGCCCCTTGAATTTCGTCAACTGGGATGAAGGTATGTAGCCATTTAAATATGGATATTTCCATCACAAATATGATCATTGTTAATTCTATATTTTGGTTTCCTTTTCTCTTGTTGGTCTCCTGCTTGAAAAACTTGCATGCATGGTGAACTCTTTGCCTCTTCGGCCATCATAAAGTGTGTGTGTGTGTGTGTGTGTGTGTGTGTGTGTGTGTGTGTGTGTGTGTATACACACTGAGTGGCCTGATTATTATGACCACCTGACGTTTGTAGGCAAATTGGCTATAATTTTGCGCTGAAGTTGCTAGAGAGCCAGACCATTATAAATAAAGGTGGCCCAACACAGTACTGATGGGGGGGGTATAATAATCTGGCCACTCAGTGTGTGTGTGTGTGTGTGTGTGTGTGTGTGTGTGTGTGTGTGTGTGTGTATAATATATTGGGTAGCTATCTGTTGGTTTTCATTGTCCTGAAGTGATAATCCACATACGTCCTATTTGAACAAATGTTTCTAAAGCACAACACAATAGCTTGGTAACTTGATAATTGATGTGTTTCTACTTGTAGTGTGCTGGGCTTGTTAGGACCTTAACAGAAAGAATGACTCTAGTTGAATCTAAACTTTGCTCATACAAGCCGTCCGCCTTCTTCCTGCAGGTATAACGGCCTTTTCAGTTCTGGATGGCTCCAGTTGTGGGAGGATAAATGTGAACACCAGAACATGGGATGTCTTCCCTTGTGAAGCCTCATTGCCCTATATCTGTGAGAAGCCAATAAGCAGCTCAGCAGATGTCTCTTCCGGTATGTATATCAGTGCTGCATACATTTAATTATATCTACATTGTGTATTGAAGGGAAGCTATAAAGGTGTTCAGCCAATTTTATTTAAAAAAAAAATTTGAGCATTTACACAAACATTACAGCCTAGTTCACATGCTTCACCAACAAATCCTATTAATTCTTATGGCCCCTGTTCACACAGGAGCGCTTTGTCGCAATAAGCAAAATGACTGTCGCTGGAAAGAGTACATGAACTTCTTTTTGGCAGAATACAGCTCGTTTTATCCCCATAGAGTCAATAGGAAACACTTGGAAATGCGCGTTGCAATTGGTTCTGCGTGCGTTTTTCGCATTTGCATCCATGTGCCACAATCTGCTCATAAAGACGTGCATCAAAAAATGAACTTTTCTATGTGCAAAAAGGCTTTTGTCTAGGTGGGAATCAGGCCTACATGGTGCCTGTTGGCAAGGCACGCTGAGCAGTAGCTGTATGCTTTCTGGGATGATGGTAACTCCCTAGTGAAGACATTGATGTCTCATTTTACATAGAGGGAGGTCATGAGCGTTCCCTTGAGTCTGTATAAAGCCCAACAGCTGTATTTGAAAAAAAACAACCTGACCTGTGAAGACTGTCACTGCTGACCTTATCTGGCAAAATGGTAGTTTGCTGGCTGTCATGCTAATCTGTTGGCCTCGGCACTAAGTTGCTTATGGAGAACAAGTTAGTCATTGCCCCACTAAAGTTAGAGGGAATTCATTAGCCCTGGGGAACATGCTTATTTAAAGTCAGCAACTCAAATTATTGAAGCCACTGGATCATTGTCACAGCCAGGTAACTAGTATCTTCGGGAGAGGCCAGCATTGGCAGCATGTATATTCCCCACTAGACAGGTTTTCTATTAGCCGTTCAGGTCGTCTTGCTTAAAACTCCACATACTGGCTGTAACCGGTATATTTCGAATATTTAGAGGGCTATTCACAAAAGGGTGAAGAGTTTGGGCGGGAGAAGTGAACAATCTAGGACAACATAGCTGAACTGGAAAGTGAGCTGAATTGGAGAATTTTTCCAAATCGGCTATGTTGTCCTAGATTATCCACTTCTCCGGCCTTCTCCAAACTCTTCCCCCTTTAGTGAATAGCCCTGTTAGATACAGTATGTCCTATTTGCATGCTCAAAATGTTTTTTTAGTAATAAACAAAAATATAATCGTAAAAAAACATAAAACCGCACCCCCATAATTGAATTCACATGGCAATGCAATATTTATACCATAAAGAGTTTTTGTAGTGTAATGTAACACGTCCCGAAAATATGTACTTACATTTCAAGTGACTGTGACCTGATAGAAGTATGAAAGCTGCCCTTGGAGGCCTTCTTTTTACAATGGCTGATGTCTGGTTGTGTCTGACTTCAGCATGTTTCAGTCCCAGAACAAGCATGCTGTAAATAAGTCAGAAAAGTGTAGCTCATACAGCATTGAAGGCAAATAGAATGTTTTAAACTAACATACTGAGGAGAATTCTGTAATGGCAGCCTCCATTAATCTCTGGTGACTGGGTCACTTAAACAGTGTAAGTTTTCATGTTGTGGCAGAGACCTGGAGATTTCCATACACCATTTCAGTTACTGTCTGGAGCACTCTTGCGAGTCCTGATACCAATACCAACTACAGCAAGGAAGATGGTTCTTTATCCTGCCTCTCCCCCAGGCTTCAGTAATAGTCAGTAAGGATGATTTTTACAATAACATGCCAATAGTCAGTTGCGAGAGGGGTCTAGTCAAAAGTACTGACTTCCTTTCTGAAGTCCTTGTATGCAGATTTGGGGCTATAGAAGACAGCTGAAGCTTTGTCTTGGTTCCTGCATTAAGGGCCCGTTCACACCACTTCTGTCCATTAATCGCATGGTTCTGTTCGATTAACGCGCGGCACAGCACAATGCACATCCCGTGCGATTACAGTGCGGGAGGTGCATTGTACACCATTCATTTAAATGGCATCCCAAACGCACATCCCGTTCACATAGCAACACGTGGTACCACAAATGGCGTGCAATTCCAAAAATAGTGCATGCGCTATTTTATCATCTCACTGCAATGCAATGCACACTATTGCGTGTTGCGGTGTGGCCGAATGCACTGCAGCCGGGAGGTGCATTTGGGGTGCCATTCAAATGAATGGCATGCAGCGCACCTCCCGCACTGTAATCGCACGGGAGGAGCGTTGTGCGGTACCGTGCATTAATGGCCCTAATAGTCCATGTCTGCTTACATTATTAAGTAGCATACTTATGCTACAGAAAAAGCACAAAAAGATATAGCAATGAATGCAGATATTATATCTTTGCCCTTTAGCGTCAATGATGTCATGATGCCTTTAGGTTGTGTGAGGAAATTGGAGTACACACAAGAAGCCCTCACAAAAAAACAAAGAAAAAGTACAACTTCCATACAGTTAGGGTGTATACGGAAACATGACCCCGGTGTTGCACAGAAAACACTAGTCTCTTGGTCAGCTTGAGTTCTAATTGTGTTGCTGTCTCAAACCCCCCCCGCCCCCCTTTTTTTTTAGAGCTCACTGTCATTTGCACAATGAAACCAACTGATTGTGTTACATTAATATAATAATTTGTATTACTCCAATCCTTGTACAGATTATTGGCATTACTCAGAGACTACATGTGAAGGAAACTGGACAGCCTACAATGGATTTTGCTACTTCTTGCAGCAGCCAGATAGTTGGGAAGATGCTGAACTTTCCTGCCACAAGGAAAATGGAAGTTTGATCAGCCTGCACTCTCTTGCAGATATCGAGTTAGTGGTTACAAAGCTTCAGAGCGGTATGTAACATGGCAGTAATCGTTTGGTTCAGTAATACAATAAACTAGAGCTGCAGCTAACGATTATTTTCAAAATCGATTAGTTAGCCGATTATTAAGTTCGATTAATCGGTTAATCGGATAAACAATAAAATAAAGTTTAAAAAATGGTTCCAGTGATAGGACTACTAGTTTGTATTGAGGTTGTAGTCCATCACAGGAGCAAGCTTGGAGCAGTGGAAGTAAAAAAGAAAAAAAAGATAGTGTGGTGTGCAATATAGTGAAATGGAAAGTGTAAAATTATACAGCAATGAATGCAGAATGGCACCGGCTATAGAGGACTACAAAACCCAGCAAAAGCACATTATACAGCGCAATGCAGAACACCGCCAGCTATAGAGGAATACAACAAATCCCAGCAATAGTACATAATAGCTGGCGGCATTCTGCATTGCGCTGTATAATGTACTATTGCTGGGTTTTGTAGTCCTCTATAGCTGGTGGTATTTAGCATTGTACCACTGTATAATGTATTGCTGGGATTTGTTGTAGTCCTCTATAGCTGGTGGTATTCTGCATTGCGCTGTATAATGTATTATTGCTGGGACTTGTAGTCCTCTATTCCACGCAATGCAGAATATCACCAGCTATAGAAGAGTACAACAAATCCCAGCAATACATTATACATACAGTGTATAATG